AAGAAAGAGAAAAATAATAAATACCTGTTATCCTGGAAACTCTGAAATTTGTATGACGCGCCACAGATCCTGCAACTTGACTGCCCAAGGAGTGTCCGATCAAATGTACATCTGTAGCGTTCACTACAGAAGCCACTATAGTGTCTAATGCATTAGCTACAGTCGCACCGACAGTGTCAACTAATGAAACGGCGCTCAAGTAGCTCATATTAGCGATCTCTCGGTAATCGATAGCAATTATATTCTCGGTCGTGTACTTCAAATACGCTGCATTAATGAAAGAAAAAACAAGTATTAAACATTTTCTGTTGAAAATTAATTAGTCTGAATTAACATGTAAGATGCCTAAATCAGATTTAAAGGGAAAGTTTAAATGGACGAACTACTGTGCGCTCTTTGTTCTAATGCAGCAAAAGTGAATAGGAATCAAGGTAACACGTACATACTTTCAAGTTATTCGGCATGCTGGCGTTTCTTATAGTCTCGATTATGACACATATTAACGATGTGCTTTTGTTCTAAGAGTTATTTATCAAGTACGCTAGTACAATGGTGACATAGAACTATGACGTAACCGCTCAGAATCAGGTTTGAAATGAAATATTCGTACGAGAAGCTGCTTGATTATTCCACGAACTGGAGTCTCCTAATAGGAGATCCTCAACTTTTCGGCACGTGGAATTGAAATGCATCGCAAACTCTAATTGAACCGCAGTTTCGACGACGAAATGAATAACGCTGTTAATTGATCGAACTATCTGAACGTCCTTCAACATTTTCATATACCGTTTAATCGAAAAGTTATCCAGAATTTCCGTCGGTGCTTGAAAAATGTTGAGAAACACAATTACGAACGTTACTTTCCTTCTAACTTTCTTTCTTAACTTCAACTCGTTAACTTACCTTCAGATACAAGTTTAGGACCCGCATAATCCACGTTTTCCTTAAAACCATGGATGTACATTACTAACGTTTCGTTGCTCCTCAACTGAGGCACCAATTCTTCTACATTTCGTACATTTACATCGAGGTAAGAGCTGTCCCTGAGAGAAAAAAGGGTGAACTTAAAACGTGCGAACGAATAATTATAGTAAAAATGGAAATAAACGCAATCAGATCGATACATGAAT